TTCAGAAAATGTAAAACATAGTAGTGGCAACTTTAAAAGCCACTTCTGTGTCAGCCTTGTCATTCGTTCTTATAGACGCGGTCTCTGAAAGTATAAGCTGCTGTACCAAAATAACACTAGTCGTGATTTAAATCATATATATATATATAAATGTCATAGAATGTGCTTGGTCTGAATCTGTACCGGAACATAAAACCAGGTTGCACAGGGTAATGCTACCTACAAAGTGGTGAGTAAGGGGGGCCTGCTTTAAGTGTGGCGCTGCTGCATTGTGAATGGATCTTTGGGGTGATCACAGCTGGGACTGCATTGCATTGTTCCCTGAAAGGTCGGCACCTGTACACAACTTTGTAGGGTAGTGCACAAAACTCTTCTAAAGAATATGCCGGGGTCTGGCTGTGAGCTACAATGGCTCAAGTGGATGAAAACGTGATTAGGGAGATTACGTGGATTGTTTTTAATCTACATACTCTTTAGTGTGATATCTTATATGTCATGGCCATTCCCTTAGAAACCAAGGGGGGAATTTATCAAAACTGGAGCAGACAGAATCTGGAGTAGTTGCCCATAGTAAACAATCACCGTCTCTCTTCAGATGAGCTTTAAAAATGAAAGACTGAAGCTGATTGGTTACTATGGGCAACTGCTCCAGTTTTGATAAATTGCCCTGTAAATGTTTTGTTCCTATGTGGATCTGAGGATTAGAGGAAACCTTGCACGCATATTAGAAAGCACTAGCTTTAGGAAAAAAAGATGTAACAAATACTTACTTTGCCTTCTGGTGCTCTCGCCTAGGCAGGGATGTTGTTATTTGGCCATCTCTTGTTATACTGGGCAAGCCGAGGATCCCAAATCTTGTGGGAATGCTTTCTTGCACAGTACAGGAGCACATTCCTATGGGATTTGGAATAGTTTGCTTTCCCAGGAGCCTGATAGAAGGTCCAAGATATCACCCTTGCCTACAGGAAGTGGACAAATCTGGGGTGTAAGCTATGGGTGGGTTCCTCACCCCCCCTTAATAGGGATACTATAATTTTTATCCATTCAGGGTCAGCAGACCATTCCTCCTGACAGCCCACCCTCTCAGCAAGCTTTACTTCACTATTTGTGCTAACTCACCACTTCCTTGCTTTGGTTGGAGCTTTCCCTCCATTGCACAGGGCTGGTCTCATGGAAGACCTCAGACCTCAGTTGCCAAGCCTGTTACATGAGGTAGTGATGTCATTCACCAGTGTATGGGTGCACGGATCTGTGACGGGAAGCGGTGAGTGAATTGATGGCCTATCGGGTGCCACCAATCTCTTTGCCCTGAATGGGCAGGTGACAATATCTCTTTAATGTACCATTTTTGATCTGGGGGTGGGGATACCTACTAAGGCGGATCTTGAATTTTCAAGCAAGGTCTGCTTTAGGGGGGAAACAAAAAAAGAAGACAATTTAAGTTTGGTTTAAACAGAGACATGATGCAGAGGGTTTGAGAAGCTTGGCTGGTGCATCTGGACCTGATGAAGTATTGTTATTTTAGAACTCATTACCTACTTTCATCAGTCGGCCAAAAAGAAGTCTGAAAATGGACTCGAAGCAGCCGGCATTATATCAGTGAGACCCTTGCCTCCTAGCTTCTATGGCTGGCTTATAATTCGCTGGGATGGGCTTTAGTGAAGTAATGGCAGGGATGCCTATTTCTGCAGCCTCTCCAACTTTTTCTCCCCCCATCTGTATTTTTTTGTTTTGTATACATACTCCTATTTAATCACATTTGTTCTAGAATGTCATAATAATGTAGCAGCTGGTTAAAATGGGAACAGCTGCAGCCGATTTCACAGATGTGTTATTTTCAGATATACAGAAATTTATATTTAAAGACAAATTAATACAAAAGTATATTCTGCATGAAACTCTGTGCTCTTCCTTCACTAAGCTGAAATCTACCACAAACATTTTTTCTTATTTGGCAAAGTGGTTCTAAGATGAAGAGACAGACATACAGTAAGCGCATTGATGTAACTGCAAGGATAAAGGGGTGCTGTAAAATGCAGTGGAAGAGCTCCCCCTTGTGGCCAAAGATCATAGCTGCTGGTGAGCTGCATGCACACTATATTGCAGTATGAGGTTCTTGTTTAGGACTGTTGGCCTTCTGTGTGAATGTTCAGGGACGGTGTGTTGGATACAGGCTGGAGGCCAGAAACAAACCAGCAACCACTTAGCAATACAGGAACATACACTGTGTTTGAACAATAAAATCATGTTGACTTAAAAACTGATTCTGTGTTTTATTAAAGGCAAACTAAGGTGTAATGTTTTTTTAGATGTGAAGGTGACAATAGAATCTACAATCTAGTCAGTGTGTGTTATTGTTTCAAAGCCCAATCCTGGCCACTTTTTTGGATGGAGTAGAGGTTTTGGGCATCTGTCGGGCTTTTTATTGCTATGTACTCATCGGGCAAAGTTTCTGTTCACACACTGTAAAAGAAAAAGGAAGGCACCCCTAAGATAACCAGCCTTAACGTTATAATGTAGTTGTAAAGGTGATAAATAACGATGGACCCGAAAGCTGTCTGATGAGTGGATGGCCAGCATGGGAGGAGTTCTGGGATCATGTGATTGGCTGCTGGGAATACTTATACTATGACATGCAGGTTAGCACCCAGCGCTGATGAAGGGGGCTTGCCCCTGAAACACGCGAGCGCTAAACTGCATGACCGGTGCGTCCAGTGACGGCGGATTACTCTGTTTGGCTGGGCTGTCCATTTGAAGTAAGCGATTAGGATCTTGGTTGGTGATGTTGGTGAGCACCATTATCATATTACAGAACAAGGAGACGCCTTTGTCTGTTTTCTGATAGAGAGAGATTGGTGGAAACCCAGCTCAGAACTGTGACTGCCACCCCCTCCTCCTGGCACAATCACTTGTGTAGATGCCCAATCCCTGCCACGCAGCTATAGGTCACCCATGACCCCACTGCCACTGAAAGGACAAGGAGGAGGGAGCAGGCTTGGGTTCACACCAAGCCCAGGCACATCCCTAAGCTCATTGTTTTGTGACCAGGGACACAGAGAAAGAAGCGTATTATGGCGAGAGCACTTTTGGGGGCTTGTGTCTGGTGGAGGGATCAGAGGATAGGGATCATGCTATTCTATTCGCCCCTCACATGTTCCATCATAGATCTACAAAGATGAAAAAGCTTCTTGAAGCGTATCAGTGTTATACACATATTAGGTGGCTGGAGATGAAGCAGCTCACCTACTTGCACTCTTTAACCTCCCCGGCGCTCTGATTTTTCCCAATATTTCTTACTTTTTTGTGTATTTTTTTAAATTTCCTGCTGGTTCCGCCCTCCTGTGACACGGCCGCTTGCAAGGGACGGGAACCCGGAAGACGGGTGCTGGCATCGGCCGGACGACACAGCTTGTAGGGAGAAGGTAACTGAAGTGCTGTGTATTGCCGAGTGTGGCTCGCGGGTACCGCTTTTGGTACTGATAATTAACCCCGAGCCAAACTCTGGAATACCGCCAAGAAGGTTAAATCACACACTCCTTTGTAGACAAGCACCAGAACCCAGAGATCATACTTCACCAGGTAAATGGAGTGCAAGACATCATACTAAGAATATACTGTATTTCAAATTGATTTCATAAATGATCCAATGCATCTCAGGGTGGAATGCTGCCTCTTCTTCAGGGGTGTCAGGGTGTAATATGGTGTCACAGAGACAGGAAGTAAGGGAGAAGCTATATCTGTGAAAAATAGCCCTTACTTATTAGAATGAGATCCTAATAGGTTGGACTTGATGGACTAATGTCTTTATTCAACCTCAAATACTATGTAACTATGTAACTGGACTTGCTGTATTTTTCTTGAAGACGTTTCACTGGTCATCCGAATACCTTTATCCATTTAGAATGACTTGTAGGAAAATTATCTGGGAATAAACATGGTGAATGTCGCTCCAATCCACATAATCTGTTACGACAACCAGGTCTTGATTACATTTGCATAATTGGAGTCTAGGAGGTGTTATTAACCTGCCCAGAGAGAGGTGTTAAAACAGCATTGCCCGTGGCAGACAATAGATGTCTCACCCTCCCCCCCCCCCCCTCTTTACATTTGGCTTTTCC